TAAAATACGATACTTCCTGTTTAATAATAACCAAAACTTTCAGGAAATATTAGATAAGCTTTTATATTTCTCGTCGTTGTTGTGATGTTTATTGAAAGTCATATTCCAAGATAAACTTATATCAGTTATATCTAACCCTTTTTTTTTCCAAATTTCTTATATTTTGTTTGGACTGATCTCTCTTGTTGAATTTAGAAACAATTTATAATTGAATAGTTAAAACCACGTAGCTAAGCATATTTTGAAATACAAACAATGATAACAATTCATGTTTATATTGTATATGTCCCTCTCATATGAAATCAATACCATCAGTATTAAGAACTAATGGCCCAGTAGCCAATATTTTTTGTTCAATAAAAATAAAAAATAAAAATACAATCGGTACCTATATAAAATACTCGTTCTTAGTGTTATGCATTGAAATGTTTCGTTGTTTATTTATTCAAGTTTAGTTTCTATGAATTATTATTTAACCCTGTCATACTAAAATTAAATTCAAGTAGAGTTTAGTTGTAGAAAAATTCCAAACAAACTAATAGTTCATAATACTTATGTCGCTTAGTTTTAGTCTTTCCTATACATTAGAAAATATTTTACTCGATAAACTAGGTAGTGAAACAGATGTGGCAAGAATAATCGTGGGTGGAGATTTTCTAAAATATGTATGATTTGTGTACATGTGTAAATCACGTAAGGTATACGTAATATGTACGGCCACTGATGTAAATGGGCATTGGCATAAACTGTTGTTTACTCGTTGTTCTATAAGAAACGACACTATTGTATATTGCAGTAAAGCCACGTGCTTAACCCCATGACAATTTCAGAATGCAGTGTCGACCACCTCGCAAAACCCTTCCCACTCCAACGCACCCCTCCCCCCCGTACTTTTGAGGTTATATCAGTTACATGATCACCCGTGTGGTGCTGTGTGCACAGACGAAAAGTTACACACAACTTGGGCTGAAAGGGGTAAACAACTCGTGGCTATATTAGTGTACAATGTGATACATTTCGATTAGTTAATACTGAGAAGGTTGACCAAGGAAAACCCCATTTAACAATTAATATGATGTATATACAATATTTACTATCCCCGATTGCATTCATTTCTCTTTATAGTTGTGGACACTCCTTTTAAAATTTTTGTAAGGAAAATGAAAAAAATATCTGTTCATGTTTGGCATATTCTGATTGGAATTCCAAATTTCTCCGATATGACACAGATTCAGCGGATAATTTATTTTATGGTGCTTTGCATAAATAATTTCTTGATTTTGTTCCTCAGTGACGTTTCAGAATATTTTTTATTATATGATGAATTCTCGTTTCTCCGAGCAAATATAAATATGAATCTAAAAAAACCTAAAATTTTGTAAAGTATTATATCCGATGGCGTTCTTTCGTAATAATTATTATACAATTTCACGTGTGTAATACTATTGTGTTTGTTATAACTAATACGGTACTTAGTTGATTGATTGTATTGAAAATACATGCAAAATAAAATATAATTGCACCTCATATTTACTAGAAATAATATGTTAAAAAAATCTAAATAAAAAAACTTTATTTAATATAATATCTTATTTGAACAAACAATCGATTAATTATAATACTCGTACTTTAAGTTCTACTGTAATATTTTTAATTCTGGTCATTTATTATTATTATTTTTTTGTTTTTGGTATTTTTTGTTCATTTACACTTGCCATATAATCCTTATTTGGCCTAATAAAATGAACATAAAATATGGCAGTAATATATATCAGTGTATTTCTGTTTTAGTTCACCTCAGTTCACGGGAAAATCGGCCTCAGTGTACTTCGCTTTGTGAACTATTTCGACCGAGATAGGCAATCCACCCGTGGTGGATTGGATATACCACTTGACATGTTTTCTAATGTGGTTTAAACTACTCTGTAAACTTCCTTGATATCTCTAAGAACAATTTCTACAACTTTCGTCAAAATTGGTAGAGTCTATAAGCTACAAAAATATGGAAATTGCGTTTTGTTGTACAATTTAATAACAAATAATTATAATTAAATATGTATTTATTTTAATTAATTTACAAAAAAATCCATAGCAATGAATGGGTGGTCCGGCTAGTCAATACCGTTTTTCTTAAAAAAAATTTTTGTTGCCAATTTCAACCTTTTACTTACATAATGAAAAACATCATTCAATTTTAATGAGCCATAACGAAATTGATTTGCACAATATAGTAACATATTTGGATTGAGAAGCAAAGTAAAGGACACTTCTTCCCTAGTCTCAATCCTCGAGGAATATGTGTGCAAAATGTTGTGTTTATTGGGTCACTATAGTTTCCATGTCCATGCAAACTTCACTAATTTTTATGCGTATTATATAGATTTATAGATGAATTGTGTTATATTTTTACAGTTGTATGCAATATTTTAGATAAATACATAATAAGTAGCAAAAATATTGCAATGTAAAATTGACCATATACGCAGGAATTGATGTGACGTTAAACGAGAAAAGTGACCCGACATGTCTCTTAGATCAAACATCATGTACATGAGTCATCGCAGCTGCGACAGACGTGAGTAGCGCGGGCGCCCAACTCGCTGTAGATAAACAGTCTGAAAAACAAATACAAACAGAACATCATACTATTACTATATATTATAATATCGTAGCACAATTATACGCTAACGGCGCTCGCTTTACATAAAATAACATAGTATAATAATTTTATTGTGCACGCACGCTTAATATATTATATCTGCAGAGAAAAGTCGAGATCTGATCGTGGATCTTTTTGACGGTCCACCGAGGGACGACTGATCTCGTGGTATAATATTATAATTGTATTCACCCGAATCCAACGGGGTATAGTCCGCACACTAAATTATGTAAGTACAGCTCTTATCTGACGACGAACGGTAGGTATTCGCAGTAACCGAGCTCATTGTATTATACGTTTTCATTTATGTACCAATATGTGCAGTGTGTGTACTTGTATAGCCATTGCAACTATCAAACTACGCACAACTCGTGATTACACGCTCAACTATTAATTATTTCAATGACACATAAAATCATATTTGCATTACTTATAGTTATGCCCATAACCCATATTTTCGATCAACATTTCTATAATAGCTGTATAATATTACATTAAAATACAAATATAGTATTCTAAATTTATTATATTTATTTCATGTTCTATACAAGATTAAAAAATATGTTATAGAAGTAGGTAACAAACTAACAAACTATAACATTAATAATTGGAAAAAACATATTTTTTCAAATAATTTAGTTTTATCGAATAACTGATAAAAATATTTTAAAAACATAAATTTATCGAAAATATGACAGTTATGTCACACTGGGGCAATGTAAACGTTTAGTGATAAAATAATCACTTTGTAAATTGTACATAAGCATATGTAGGTACCCGTACTTCAGATTTATTGTTGTAAAAAACAAATTAAAAGTTTTGGTTAACTGAAATTACGATGTACGTTCACTCCAATTTTATGTTCCATCTACACTGCAGAAGCCATAGCAATATTTGAGCTAGTGGAATTCATACTCAACCATGGAAACATTCATAAAAAATATAATTCTCTCACATTCACTGATCACACTAAAAATTCTAAAATATACAACTAATACAACAGACATAGCAAAGCTAATGCAACATAAAATAAACCGATCAATAAGTAGATGAATAAACATAGCTCTAATGTGAATTTCTGGACACAACAACATCGAAGAGAACGCAAAAGCAGATCAAGAAGCAAAGAAAGCAGTAAAATTCCCAGATACCCCAACATTTAGTATAACACCTTATGCAGATTTGAAAAATAAAATAAGAGATCTCATCTTAATGTGATAGCAGACACAACAACTAAAGCAGCACACCAAATTAGAAATGTAAAAACACTATCTTCGGCTGGCCTAACCTCCTTGTGAAGATAAGTGATAAGGTAATCATTAATAGATTCCGAATTGGCCACACCCGTCTTTCACTCGGATACCTCATGGGAAGAGAAGAGAAACCAGGGTGCATCTGTTGTGGAACTGAACTTTCAGTCAACCATATAATCATAGAATGGCTCCAATACATAGACGAAATCAGCAGCCTCAACATACCCAACACCTTAGACGCAGTACTCGGATCTGACGCGAACACCACTTCAAAAACTAAAAAGTAAACTGTAATACCAAATTGTATAACCAAATTTAACAAAAAAGAAAATTTTTAACTAATGGCCATTGCTTCTGATGTTAATTAAGGACAGTTATAGAAAAATATATCTTGCTTTTTGACCTTCAAAATGTTGTGTCTAGTTTTGAAAAACCAGTGCTCTGCGGAGATCCGCGGTAAAGTTGGGGTAGCTTAATGTTTACTAGTTTAAGATTAATTTAAATATCTACTCATGACTCAATTATTACTCATATAGTTTTTTTGTACTTTTATCAGTTTTATATAATATTGTATTATTAAATTGTATCATTTATTCATTTAAGCTCATAAATAATACGATAATATACCTTGCTCGTACTTACCTCTTGTCTCTGTTATTACACTAATAGCCATGTACATTAAATTTCAAAAAAATTTTAAAAGGGTTGTATCATTTTTGTCAAAAATGAAAGAAAATCGATTTTAATTTTTTAATACAATTTTTATAAACATATTTTACAAATATTAAGACACCAGGGCCGCTGTAGCATAATTTTACAAAACCTCAGTCAGCAGCCATTGAAACTCCGGTCCATCTGTTTTGGTATGAAATAGTTACCCTGTAGTGTAATTAGGTGTATATATATACATATATATATTTATATGTAGAGGTATTATGTAAGTCACATTGATAAATTGGCTCTCTAAACTCGTAATGTTCCCGTAGACTAAAAAATTTTATACGACCGTAAGAATTTTATAATAATATTATATTCGCTGAAATTGCCACTAATTTTTCTCACCGCAATAATAGAATAAAATAATATGATTATCCTTCCTTTTATTCCTCTTCCTCCTCCTTATCTTCTTCGTCTTCGACCTCGTCCTCTGGATTTCCATAGGACCTTTCAGCCGGGCTAACCGTTTGCTTGTCAATCCTCTCCAGCCACGGTAGCAACTTCAACACCTTCGATCTGATCGAACCTTTACTGAAACCGTTATTTGATACCACCAAAGTTTTTAATGATTTAAGACATGCCAATTTGTTGAGCTCTTTTACATCGCTTAAGTGGTTCTCTCTAAAATGAGAAAAAGTGTATACAATTATAATTCATACTTAGAAAAAATATTTAAAAAAGACTAGAATAAGAACATTTGGCAAATAGATATCCTCTTCGTGTCCAGTAGGACGTGATAAGTGTACTTTGTCAGTCACTGAGTAAGTCACTATGCACAATGTGTTAAATTTGAATTCAATGATAAGTTATTGCATACGAAAAACAATTCTGAGCGGATACAGTATGTCAGGTTATATCACTAAGAACATACATGGTTATGTACCTACCTATTTGTATTGTTATCATAGTCATTGATTTTATTAGGTATTAAAAATACACTGTAGATTGTATTACATTTTGATGAGAATAAAGTATTTATTAAAATGTTATCAATTACTATTAAAGTGTATATCTATATACCGTATATCATTGTTATTAACTTTTGAGTCAAATTACCTAACTCTTACTGTATAATGGCATGAATAGTTTCATGATATAAATTCCTGGAAAATCGCTTGAAATCATTATAAAAATTTTGAATTTTCTTATGTATAATAAACAATAATTTGGGCCTTAATAGAAAATGTTGAAATAGTTGATTTTTTAATTACAGAAAACAAATACTATTAATTTTGTCAAAAAATAATGTTGCTTAAAAATGACTCAATTTTTTCTGATTTTCTTGAAATGATTAAAGAATTTTCATTTTTAACCTCCTTAATGTACCAACTAGACCTAATTCGGTCACCAACACTATACTTGAAGTATTTTTCTAGTATAAAACTTGTACACAGACACACACAAATAACATTCCTACATCATTATAAAATCAATACATTCAGTATTTAAATAGGTGTTTGTGTGTGTGAATAATTTGGTTTAATATCACAATTTAATGATGTTTAGAATAAATTATGTAGTTTCTAATAAAAGTTGTTCAAACTGAAAAGTTTAAAAAACTGTTTAAAATACAAAATCAATAATAAGTATCGTAGAGGCATTATGAAAATATGTTTTATTCAAATAGGTACAGTACGTTTTATTTAAATCAGCAATATGACCTAACACATTACTATTTTAATACACAGATATTATACCATAAAATATTTATTTCAAAAATCATCCAATGAATATTTTGACAAGACTAATTTGAACAAAGCAAATACAGATATTTAATGAAGAAGAGTTGAATTATTTATAATTTAACCTTTGGAATTTGGATTAATAAATAATAATATCGGGAGGCATCTGGAAAACTGATGACGAAGAACTAATAGAAATGTTTTCTCGTAAAAAATGTAACGGTTTTCTACATCATTTGTTTTATTTAATTGTTTTTTGTAACGATTTGTTGTTTTTTACTAATCGCAATAATTGCATTTCAATGATTTTTAAATTGAATTTTTTTTAAAGTAAGACTGGAGTTTATTTTTAAATTGATCGAACTAGAAACAATAAAATTAAACGGTTTTCATCCTATTACGTTTCTTTATCTAATCAAGATGCACTCTAATAGTATATATATATATATCATACACTTAATTTGATCAAAAACTACCAATTTATTGTTGTAGGTTTGCGCAAAATAATTTGAAATATTACAGGCCATAGAATTCAAATTATTATTTGGCATTTAATTTAGGCATTCTAAATGGAAATTAGTGACTTCTAACTGATAATAATATTATTATGAAACGTTTAATATAAAATCAATGTTTGTTCATCCAATTTTGTACGTCTATGTTTAAATGTGGGTGTAATATAATGTGTTTTAACAAATTATATTAATATTTAGTAAGTACTCAATGCATTTAGGGTTAACATGTTTATAGGTTTTGTATTATATGTATTAAAATGTATTATTGAACGGACATTTGTTTTTAGTAAAAGGTGATACAATAATAAAATAAAAAATAATTTATTGCAGGTACTGGTTTTTATTGAGGTAACATGTTTGATGAGATTTTTTTAATTTACATTTAATGTTACCTATACTATTTGAGTATTGAGTGTATTGTACAATATTACCTCAAGTTTAAGTAAGATAAATTCATCAGATTTTCAGTAAAACCATCCAAGTTTGATATCAGGTTACCACGCAAGTGTAAACGGGACAAATTTCGTAAATCGTCTAACCCATTTAGGTTGCCAATCTTGTTGTAGCTCTGATGACATTATTATAACAAAAACATGTTTCGTGTTAGTGCATTCCAATATGATATGAGTTTTCAATCAAATTACCAAATACAATATACGTAATTTATTGGATACAATCACAAATTGTTCGACTGTATCCAAGGCGTTTCTGGACAATGCCAATGTGGATAGGTTTGGGCAAACAATTTCTTCGTCGGAGTAGTTTTTATTATGGTTTTTGCTCGGCACTTGGGTCAGATAAGAAATGTTGTTGTCTGAAATATTGAAACGTAAGTTTGCTACTATGACATGAACAGAGTACAATGCATAACTATGACATCTGTAGCGAAACTATCACGTTATTGACAACTATTATAATATAGTTTTTACTGCAATATTGAAATTTTAAAAAATGCGAGTTGAGTTATATATCACACATAATCATTGAGTTTTAGTATAAAAACGTGCCTATATAGTGTAATATGTATTATGTTTGTTCTATAATTGTAATTACTTAAGCAAGCTTAACCGTCAAATTTTGTTTTTGCTGTTTCGTTTTTAAAAGAAGCGTCAAAAACTGTTCCTAAACAGTTTAATTTCTGAGATTTTTACTGTTTTTAGGTTCTAAAAATGGACAGAGAAACTTTGCCTTTACTATAATATTTTGTCATTTTTAATTTTCACATTTTATGTTTTAGAGGAGTGAAATGCTGAAAAAGTTTTCAAACAGTACATCTATAATTTATTACATATTACGTATTTTACTTTACATTGGTAATTGTTCGAGAAAATCACAATAAACAAGAGCAGAAAATGTCGTGGAAAATAAAGCATGCACAGAAAGTTTTCAATAGAAATTAACTATTGTTAAGCCCATCGTGAGATTTGTTTTTTTGTGGTCTTTGGATGATCTAAAAGCTTAACAATTGTCAAATGCAGACTTTACAGTTTTTGATTAATCATAGATTTGTAAATATTTGTCAAATATAGTGGAAAATTAGGGAATAAATCAATAATATTATTTAATTCTATTTGAATTAATAAAACGTCGACACCTAGAAAATATAAATCACCTGGAAAAACAGGTTTTAAGCATTCCATTCACAATCATTGGATCGTGCAGATGAGATAATTTATACTATTGTCACCACTGTTGAAGTGACGCTATATACATACAATTGTTTTTCTTTTGAAAATATGTTTGTGTAATATATGGACGTCATCCGATATGTGGGCCACATTTTATCCCACACCATTTACAAAAAAAGACACAAATCAATAACGGATAAACAAAGTACTCCGACAAAAAAAAAAAACTGAAACTATTTGGTTGTAGGTTATAATGGATACTGAAGAGTGACTAATTATCGTTATAGCATCGATTAAAAACCAATTAAGTTGACCCATTCAACTCTAATTATTTTTTTTTTTTCTCAAGTTTAATATACTTATAGGGTAGATATATGCATTATTCACAGCTATATTATAAAGGTACGATTCTAATATACTCATCAACTTTAACGTTGGTAGAAGCAAACAGATACAATGACTTTCATTTCAACAACATTTCAATCCTTTTGAACTCAAATAAACAAATAATATATTTAAATATATTTACCTCATTATCTCAACCGAAATAATGGTATATTTAATTTGTTTCTATCAAAAATAAGTACAGAACAAATTTTAGTGATTCTACTATTTTTATATTCTAAGAAGTAAGAGTGTTACTTTTTTATAGAATAAAATACTAAGAATAATTAAAATTTATTTTATCATTAAGTGAATTGAAATTTATGATATAAATAATATCTATGAAAGCGTAAAAATATAGTTAATAGTTATAATATGTTTTATTAAGCCTACATTAGACTCATAAAAAACATTTAATATAATAGAAATAATGTTTTCTTAAATGCAAAGTTTATTTTTATTAAATATTAATTATTCTCAGCATCTTGGCCATTGGCTAGCAGTATTTGAATTTTTGTTAATATCATTATTTTAATATTTTCACTATAATAACTAGCTAGTTATACAGTGTTTTTAATTTTAATTTTAATTTAGTGCATTTATTTCTATTTTCTATTAATAATTAATAAGCAATTTAATATCAGTAATTAAATTAAAGGGTAGGTATAAAGATTGACTAGGTCTCTTTATTTCTGAAACCACGTAAAAAGCAATTCCGTTGAAATTGTTTTAAACAAAAAAAAAAGAATAAATAAACGGCCGAAACCAGATGGTATTGCTCAGTTAATTATTATTATTTATTTTACGAATTTGAAGAAAGTTCTTTAAATTGTTGTAATTTATTTTCGGAAGTTAAGATAGTATATACAATATTTTTTTTTCAACAATCGCTATCAAAAAAAAACATTTTAATATCTTAATATCACAATTTTTATTTTTTACTAATAAATAACAATAATTTTTAAATAACGTTTTTTGTACTTGGTACCTATGAACAAAGTAAATGTGCTTATTAGTTATTTTGTCGAAATCAAAACGTTTCTTCCCATTTTAGTTGTTATAAAATAAATACATTATGAGGCTATTTATTAGAACATAAAGATATAGCGTAAAGTATTACCTATGTATAAATTAATGTTTCTTTACATACATTTTGTTCCCTATATGCTTAAAAACTAATCAACCATTTTCGATAAAAATTAAATTATTAGAATCATTTGTATTCGGGCAGGGTTCTTAGTTTCGTGTTTCAATTCATATTATATTAGTTGCTATAGAGTAGCTCACACATGAATTTAGTTTCGGCTCACAAAAATAGATTTTTTTTTTTTTTTTTTTTTTTTTTTTTTTGGTTTTTTTTTTGTTTTTTTTTTTTTTTTTATTAAATTTATTTTTTTTTTTGTTTTTATTTTATTTTATTTTTTTTTTTTTTTTTTTGTTTTTTTTATTAATTTTTTTTTTTAATTTTATTATTTTTTTAAAAAAAAAAAATGAGAAGCAAAGTGTATGATTGAGGTTTATTGAATCAAAAAATACCCAACCAATTTTGATTATTCAAGGTTCAAATAGTAGAACCAGCTATAAGATGGCCTTTCCGCCATTCAATATTATATTCGTTTAAAAAATATGTCTTGAAATATTGATTCATGCAAGGAAAAAAGGTTACTTATTAGTTATTAGTAATAACACACCACAAATAAATCACTCATTTTGGCTTCATTTATCCTAGGGTGTAATTCAGCTAATAAATTATTATGGTTAATAGTTGTATTCACCATTACTCATTAGGTTAAGTTAGACTATATAGATTATAGGTACTTGGAGTCTTAAACGTTAAATCGAATTCTTGTCTATTAGATTAGTTTAGGTAAAGTTTCCTTTCAGATAGATTTTACATAAAATAATTCGATTTATGAGTATATTTACCACATATTAGTCAATAAGCCATTCAAAAATATACACATATTTATTATGAGTTCAACAAAATATTATTATATTAAAAGTGCTGGCTGACTTATTTCGATTAGTTTATAAATAAATAACAATAACATGTAGTTTTGTATTCGTTTAAAAATAGGTTATGTATAGTAAGAACTAAGAATGTTAATAAATAACATAAATATACATAAATAAATATTACTAGCTGTGACCTGTAAGATATCTTAAGTGTTAGAAAATAAGTTCTTAATTTTTTTATACTCGCAATATAATTCTGATATTTAATAGTTTAATATTCACTGCTTTTTTTCTATCATAATATATCATGAAAAATATTCAAGAATTTTTATATGAAAATACAATTTATTAAAATATTTAATTAGAAAGTTTATTAAGAATATTAAAACAAGTATATTATACAAGAAACTGCACAGAAAATATTGGTGCATATAATGATAAGAATATATATAATACCTACAACGTTATTATATTTTAGTAACCAATAAATGATAATATTTTAAACAAAATCAATTTGTATACGATAGGTTATATTTTGTATTTTTAAAAAAGTTTAAAAAATAGGTGCTAAGAAAATTGATAAATCTCTCCGTTGAATTTGGCGTCAGATCTGTCTTTTGTGTTTTCCTTATAAACCTTTAACGAGTCTATTCGATTTTCACAAAGTCGGACACCTGTCAAAGGATTTTCCCGTTTTAAATGAGATTTACGCATAGCCCGTATAGTAAGTACCTATGGGTATTGGCTATAATACTTGACAAACAAATCGGCAAGCGAAATTCAAGAAATTTGGCCACTAGGATATTATTGTCCAAAATATATTACCAATAATAATAATAATAATTTAACCTCTATAGTCGTATTTATCCTATTATTGTTACGGATGTTTTTAAAATCAATTTGAAAAAAAATTGTTTTTATTATAAATTACACATACATTTATAGGACGTTTTAACCGTCGGACTGAACAATATTGTTTTAAAATTTCAGTCAAAGCGAATAAAATTATAATCAGAATAGCATAATATCAATTGTTGTAAAAAATAATTAATATAATATATTGTTCGTTACAATAATATTATATACAGTAATTTTTTAGTTTATTTGTTCACTTACCGCCACTGGTAGATGGCGTTGTATATATATTATTATACAATAAAATTATGTAAATTACGCAGTGATCGTATAAATATGATTTTATAATATGCGTCTAAATAATATATTATAATGTTTATACGAACATTGTAACCATTTAAATTCAATAAAGTGAAGATTCGTTATTAACATTTTCAAATTATTGTGGTTAGGGTTAATAGTTAAATATTATGAAAAACAGTGTCAAGATTTTAAGATTCAAAAGTAATTCATTGTTATTCTACATACACCTTGGTACCTACCTAATGTTTAAATAAAATAAAATAAATAAGTTAAAGTATGTAATTATATATCTTATCTTCTATATATAAAAATGAATCCCTATTTCCCTTGGTCAAGGCATCACGCGTAAACGGCTGGACCGACTTCACTAATTCTTTTTTTGTTGTAATTGTTATTGTCAGGAGAAGATTCTTATGTAAGAAAAAATTGAGAAAGTTACGTGGAAAATTTAAAAAAAAATTAAATTAAAATAAACTAGTATCCCTATATATTAGATGCTCCCGATGGGACTGGAAAAACGTTTTTAATATTAATATTATTTAATATTATATATCTTAAATTATACTAATTATATTAATCTTATATTAATTAAATAATTATATAGCCTATACAGAATAAATGTAACTCAGCTCGGTAATTATAACAGATAAATAAATTGTCGATTGTGAAATCTTTTTTTTCGATAACT